TACTATTTAAAAGTCTTGATGGAAATAACCACAATATTATTTATTAAAAAAAGAAACTTTATAAAATGTTTAGACAATGATTTCTGAATTTAGAAGTCGAAACGTCAATCATTTTTTTTTACTAAATAGATTGTGGTTGTTCCCATCGAGATGTTCATAACATTATTTAAAGTCATAAAATATTTTTTTTAATTAAACATAAACATTAAAAGCCTTATCAAACAATAATTTTAATCATGTTAATCTGATTGATTGTCCATATTGTTGGTGAGCAACGACTTAAAGAAGAGATGGTACTGGGAAGGAATAATGCCTTTATTACACAGCTCTTCTAAATCCTTATATTTTTCCTCTTTTATTGGCCTTGCTCCTTCATATGCCGTTGTTAAATTTGGCATGGAAAATTTTCTAATTTCTTTTCGGGTAACCTCAAAAGACCAGAAATTTTCATTTTCCTTATTATATTTAAAAAATATATGTTTATTATTGTCTTTTGTGTACTACAGCCATGTTAATTTTAGCCAATTTATGCTACTACCATCGATGTCCACTTTTTTGTGTTTTATTAAAATTGTGGCAAAAGCTTTGAAATCATAAATTTCTTTCTGTCCAATCTCGTGTACAGTGTATTTTGATTTCTTTGACGCCGTTCTTACCATGGTGTACCACCCAGTAGGAAAAAATATGTTCACATTTTTTTATGCTTTCTCAATATGACCATGGACCTAGTCACACTCCATCATCGAATGGCCAGGTTCAAAAAAGCAATGGTCAATTTTTAAAATATCTAATGTCTGAACAGTGTAAAGCAACATAGCAGATACATTTACGTTGCGGTTTTGGCCACCACACGTGTCACTCATTAAAACAAACTCTTTACCATCGCAATTGTCCTGTAGATATTTATAGAGACAAGAGGACACTTCATTCGAACCTCTGCCAGCCACTCCTTCATGCCACATATAATTAGTAGCATTTCTGGTCCTGACATCGTAAATAGTAAGATTATATACGGCCAGTCGTCTTTTGTAAAATATTGCTTTAGTATTTGTGGAAGGGCAGTACCTTACAGCCTCCAGATTAAATTGAATGAAATTTATTTTGTTTTCCAAAGCATCTGCCTTAGCTTTGTCGTGAAATTCCCTAGCAGCATTTTTCCTGTTGATATGTTGTTCGTAATTCTTTTGCAAGTCTTTCTTTTTATCTTCAGTTACATTTTGATATCTAAAACAGGTATCACACATGTCTTTTCTTGGTACTTGAAATTTTAAATGAAAGTTATTGTGAAAAATTTGTCTATACAACCATAATTTCTCAGGCATTATTTTCTCACCGTTGCATTTGTAAACATACATATCATACATTTTTTGTACGTTGAGGTCCTGTGGTAGATACTCACAGGTTGAAGATTTTCTACAATAATGTGAAGGGACTGTAGGAAAAGATCTAATACGGCTTCTGATAAATTCTTACAGGGCAGTACCTTACAGCCTCCAGATTAAATTGAATGAAATTTATTTTGTTTTCCAAAGCATCTGCCTTAGCTTTGTCGTGAAATTCCCTAGCAGCATTTTTCCTGTTGATATGTTGTTCGTAATTCTTTTGCAAGTCTTTCTTTTCATCTTCAGTTACATTTTGATATCTAAAACAGGTATCACACATGTCTTTTCTTGGTACTTGAAATTTTAAATGAAAGTTATTGTGAAAAATTTGTCTATACAACCATAATTTCTCAGGCATTATTTTCTCACCGTTGCATTTGTAAACATACATATCATACATTTTTTGTACGTTGAGGTCCTGTGGTAGATACTCATAGGTTGAAGATTTTCTACAATAATGTGAAGGGACTGTAGGAAAAGATCTAATATGGCTTCTGATAAATTCTTTAGCGTCTTCAGGTCTTGCGACTCCAGGAGGATGACGACCTCTTCTACTAGTCTGAACAACATGACAATCCGATCTATTTTTCAGTATATTTTTTACAAAGGTTTCTGATATGTTGAACGTAGCAAGAAAAAATCCCTGACAAACCTGAATTTTGTTACCCTCTTTCACTAAATAATACTCTCTGGTGTTTGAACGTTGTGAATTCTCAGCTTTTGTTCTAACTGAACTTTTTGGTTTTACTTCAACTAAAGAAGAAATATACTGCTTTTGCTTTTCAATGTTTCCAAGCTCATTCCAAAATGAAAAGTGACAGAGCTGCCGATATTCTTCAAAAAATTTACTATTACATTTTTTGGGGCATTTAGAACAATCCTTTGGTTTTACACTCCTTGCACTAACTGCTTTGCCTCGAATAGAAATATAGGACTTACCAGTCTGTGTCAACCTCTTGCGTATATTGTTCTTCCACGTACTCGGCTCAGCCTTCCTTTTTCTTTTACATTGCAAACTGGCACTGCCATTACTGGTACCCACTGCACTACCATCACTGATACCCATTGCGCTACCATCACTGGTACCCACTGCACTCACATTCCGCTCCAACACAATGCTTTCTTCATTTCTCATTTCTGTATTAGCTGTCGGTTTTTGAACCGAAGAATGAAAAGACTCCCCAGATGAAAACTCAGGAGTTGACGGAGCATAAGGAGGGTCATCAATAGAATCGTCACAAAAAAATATATCCTCACATTGTTTATATCCTGATCCATTAGGTTCACTGATAGAAACATGCGAGGCACTATTTGAATGTATCACTTGTGATAAGAACGGTAAATTATGAATATGTGTTTCATCAGAATCGAAACCAAAAAAAAAACCTCACAATGTTCATACCCTGATAAATTAGGTTCACTAGTAAAAACATGCGAGGCAGTATCTGAATATGTCACTTGTGATGAAAGCACTAAATTATGACTATGCATTTTCTCATCTCGTACCGATTTGTTAAGAGCTAACAAAACTAACTTCTTCCCTCTTGAATTCATTATTGTGTAATAATAAAATTATAAAACAGTATTAACGAATATTATAACAATATCTACAACAGTTAACTTAAAACTGATTTATGTGTTTACGTCTTCACAGTTGTAACAGAACTAGAAAGGCAACGGACCACCCTGATAAATATAATAAACAAATTATCAACTGATTCACGTGTTTCACAGCTGTAACAAAACTGCAAATACAACAGACCACCCTGCTAAACATAATAAACAAATTATCAAATCCACAGATACTACCTGCAACCACTATTCAGTTGAATAAAATTTATGCCACACAAAAGTAACTCAATATCAGCTTATTTATAGTACGAAAACGTGGTATCACAGAAATGTAACAGCACTTACATTTCTGTGACACTAAAAGATTGTTAAAAAATGTAGTTACGAAAACTCCTTATTGGGGTTTTGAGTGCTCGGAGAGATATAATTTTTTGTCGGTCAATAGAACTTACTAAGGTAAGTTAAATGGTGTAAATATGTCAAAACGTGAAAAAATGTAGTTACATTTTTGTGTCACTAAGCCGACGAATATTTGCACTGCTTCTTAGTTGTATTTTTCTTGCAATCTTTTTTCACTTGGCAACCCTGTGCATTTTTAGGAACTGGATTATTCGGTTGTTCCGAGAAAATACGTCAGTTCACTGACTGCCGTATTATATATACCGAAGAAAGGAAAAAATGTTATTGCTGTTTTCACTGTGCACAGAGATGATCGGATTGATGAAGATACTGGTGATCGAAAAAAAAAACAGAAATAATTACTGTTTATAATTCCACCAAGAATGGAGTAGACGTTGTAGACAGAATGATCACATCATATAATGTTTCCAGAAATACGAAACGTTGGCCAATGATAGTAGTTTATAATCTCCTTAATCTCGCAGCAATTAATGCATTTGTAATTTACAAAAGAAATAACCCAAATAGAGAACTTTACAAAACGCAAAGATTATTCCAAAAAAACCTAGGTATGGAATTGGTACAGGAGAGTTTACGACGGAGAGCTGTTGACACGCATTTGACAAAACCCCTGCGTGCTTTGGCCTTGAGACTCTCGGTCATTGGGGTCGTCGTTGTACCAGAGCCCCAGCCAGGTAAGAGAGGAAATTGTAAAAATTGCAAAAGAAGCAAAACTTGCTTTTTTGCAAAATTTGCAAATCCTGGCTATGTATGGACCACATACTAGCATGCTGCAAAGATTGCTTAGAAAATTTTAACACCACAGTTTGACCACTGTAGTTTGTGTCCACAATTTAATTTTTTAGTTTATAAATGTTTTTGTAGTACTTTGTTTGTTTCTAATTAAAGTTTTAGAGAGAAAGAAAAAATATGCGTTGAAATTGTAAGCATTTTTAAAATTTACCTAATACAACTTAAAAAAATTTTGGAATTGTTTTTGTAATATACATTATATAGTAAATGATTTGTTTAACATACGTTGATGCGAAATTAGCAATAAAATGTATATTGTTGCTCGGGAGGCGGTATTTCATTTTGGTCCTCACAGACCACACCCGACCGAAAGTGTTTTAGAATGGTCACCCGATGAACGGAGGGTTAATGTATACATAACTTAAGTCGAACAGACAATACCTAAAACAGGTCTATTTTAGTTTGATTAGATACTAACTGTATCTTTGAAACTGGTAATAGGTATTTTAGATGCGTATAACTGTTTAACCGAATGTAGATATAGATTAAACGTATATACCTATGTACATATAAAGATTTTTCAGGCCAAGCCTACGAAGCCAAAAAACATTTCTTTCGATGCAATATTAGGTCTTCCTAACGTTGACGCGACTTAAGCCATGGCATCTGCCTCCTTCAAATTCCACTGCGGTCCTCGATTTTACCTTTCACAATAATCTGAAGAATTTTGTAGCGATCTCTATTAAGAACATAAACTTAGTATAAAATTTTTCTTATTGTAATAGTTTGCAATAATTTGAGAATAGCATTTGCTCTATTTAATACAGCTTCATTGATCTGCATCACCCTCCAGAGTTTTCATAACATTCATAAGCAACTATATCTGAAACGCTAGCTTTCAGTGTCCAAGTCTCGGTGCCATGTAACAGTACTGATCAAATATAGAATTTTATCATTCTATGGTGTAATTTAAGGTTCAAGCTATTTAAAGCAGGAAACCCATTATGAATTCTTTGGAACTGGTAATCCTTTGTGTCGTGTAGGAAGCACATTTTTGTTCAACCGTATCGACGCCACTTTTTGTTCTATTGTATTCCAAAATCATTACTAGTTTTCCTGTATCTTTGTCTATTTCGTCTGTATCAATCATGGTAGCGAGCAATACTACAGCTTTATTTCTATTAGGAACATATGAAACTAGGGACATTCAGAAAAACATTGGGGAGGTAGTTCTTTTTTCTTTTTCTTCAAGGTGCCAATAACTCTCAGGCCATTTTGCATGAGATACTTAGCTAAAGGATAAAGGATAAATCCATAGTTATATTTCTTTTGGAGTTTTTATGGAAAAATCTAAACGATGCGCGATGTACTAGATCGAATGGTTTATTTAAACATTTGTACGGTCCGTCTCTTTGTATTTCACAATATATCTCAAAATTTCAAGTATAGTAAGTCCTGCTATCGCAAAGTGCATAGAGTTTTATGCCATATTTGGCTGGTTTTGTTGCCATATTTGTAGCTGTACAAAGCCACATCGTCCTCTAAAAGGGTGAAGCATTTCGTCTATAGTGACGTATTTCCCCAAACAGTAAGTACTCTTACATTTATGCAGAAAGTCTGTGTATATACTTTATTATTTTGTTACCAATTTTTTCATGTCCCAACATCATCGAAACAAAGAACACGAAGGAGAAAGAGAAATCTTTTGTTACCAAATGCAGCGCTCTGTCCTGTGTCTCTGTCAAGTGTAAACGTTTTTTGCATTACCTTTTGTTCCAGCAACTTCTTTCCATAATATTTTTTGCTCTGGTGTTATTGCCATAAGCTATTGGGGTACTTTTCCAAATTGTTTCTTCCCCCTTGCCCATATAAAATTGGTAATAGCCATCGTCTGGCTCTTGAAACGGACACATCATCGTTATCATCGCTAAGAAGTAGTTCCGATTTGCTGTCATAATTATCATTTTCAATAATTTCTTGTTCTTCACCTGAATAATTAAAATCAACAATCATATTCGTCAAAATCAGACATATTTTCCGCAATCTCTTGCAATTCAATCTCTGTCAAATATTAATTGGCCATTTTGTACCCCTCAAATGACAAAAAGTACCTACATCAATTGATTTAAGTGCTAAAAAATTATGTGAACAAATTTTACTTACATGCTTACATGTAAGTAAAAGTCATGTCATTTGTAGAGTTCGAAAGCTATGGTGAGAAGAGATGGAGATATTATTGATTGTGACTTGTATTGGAGATTTTGTTTTAAATATATTTCATGAACAAAAAGTGCAAATATCTTCTCCCTCATTGAGAGAGTTGAAGAGATATATTTTAAATAATGATTGTTGCTTGTATCATTATCAGGAGAAATGAACATATTTGTTGAAATTTGCTGTAAATGTCACTTGGGGAGAGCGCCCACCAAACTGGCGTGGCAAGTAGCATGTAGCAAGTAGCACGCGTATAGTATGTTTCTTAAAATGTAACCAATGAAAACGAATGATTAGAATGAATGACGTCACTGTCATTTTGTTGTGCGCTGAATCATTCGTTTTCATTGTTGCATTTTAAGAAACCTGCTAGACGCGTGCTACTTGCCACTTGCCACGTGCCACGCCACTTTGGTGGGCGCTCTCACTTAGATGGAAGATCATATACTATAGGTAATTTGTTATCAATATCCAGTACAAATCACATAGATTCAATGCTGTACTGTTTTCTATGTTGTGGCATATTTTTTAATTGATCAAAAATTAATTTTAAAGCATCCGTTTGTTTTTTTTATTCATCACAACTGTCTATAGCCCTTGAATATTCTCAAAATATTTTTGAATGTAATACTCAAATCTGTTATCACTTGTCTTCAAAGCAGAACTATATCGAGAACGAAAGTTCACTAATTGTAACCATCTTGTTAATTTACTATCTTGTAAAATCCATTACAAATCATTACTACTTAATCTCTTCTTACCTATATTGACGATTACACTAAAATTACTGCTAACTATTACACTACTTATTACACTAATATTATCACACTCATGTCCTAACTGATTAATCTTACATAGAAAATCTTACATTCTAATACATAGAAGTATAATACACAGTCACTTGTAATTTTACTCGTCCAGTTTTTCAATGGGATATTATTGTCGAAGTCTCATAAAAATGGTTTAAATGAATCTATTAAATCATTGTCTAAGAATTCTGTTATCTCTTGTTCCCTCTTTTTATGTAAAAAGTTTCTTCTGTCTTTGTCTGTGAACAGTTAGATATGACGGTAGTTCAGGAAATATATTAGGAACTGCATTGTCTTTTAATTTGGTAAATCTTAACTTTTCAATACCTTCATTTCCATATTTATCTTCCCATTGTTCAGTCCGCTGAATATCATCTCTATGAAAATGTTTGGCACATACTACGGAAGATTTGCTAACTGTATAGCCTTCTCTATGAATAAAGAGTAACCAAGTATACCTTTTTTTTTTTTTTTTTTTTTTTTTTTTTTTTTTTTTTTTTTTTTTTGGCCTTAGGTACAAGACCTATTTAGCCAGGTATACCTTCTTTGGCATAGTTGGTTTTGCAACCAGGTACACAACAATGCTGGGGCATCTGTAACAAAAAACAGAAGTATTTTTATTGTTTTCAGTTATTTTGTAACAAGAAGCAAAAGTATTATTATTGTTTTCAGTTTATTTTGTAGGTTATATTTATACTTGCCATCTAAATTGTCGTTAAAAATCTTCTAAAAGTTCTAAACTTAATGAAATTTCACTTATAAACTCCTTTTTTCCTATGAAGGTCGATATGTAATTAGGATCAGATCAGTGTTCCTCAAACAGTGGGGCGTTAATATTTATTTCGATCGCTTGAAAAGTAAAAATATTTAATTTCCTGTATTTTATGTTCAGTACTAATATTGGACTTTACTGTATCAAAGGCAAATAAAATCAATATAATATGTATATACAGGGCGGTTAAAAGAAGTGGGATGGAATATTTCGAATAATCGAAATTATTTGTCGACATCAAATGTTCATCAAGGTCTCTATAGGTCTGTATTTTGCGTAAAGTAAAAATTATTCGGTTGTCTCCATTAAGGCTTCCTTAAATATTTCCTCCGAATATAAGGTAAAAATTAAAGGCGACAATATACAGCCTTGCCTCACTCCTCTTTTTATATTTATTTCATCCGACACTTCTTGTTTAACCTTTATTCTTGCCACTTGATGCCAGTATAGATTTGTAATTATTTGTAGATCTTTATCGTACAATCCAGCTGTTTCCAATATTTCTAGCATTTTGTTATGTCGGTCTTTGTCAAAAGCTTTTTCGATATCGATTGCACAAATGTACACACTTTGATTTATAACTCTGCGTATCTGTACTAGCACCTGTATACTAAACAAGGCTTCTCTTGTACCCAAGCTACTTCTAAACCCAAATTGAGTATTGCTAATTCTGTCCTCTAACAGCGTGTAAATTCTGATGTGTATTACTCGCAGGAAGATCTTCAAAACGTGACTCATCAGACTTATTGTCCGATAATCACCGCATGTCTTTGGACGATGTTTCTTAGGTATTGTGACAAATGTCGACTTTAACCAATCAGGTGGTAATATCCAAGTGTCACAAATTCTGTTAAAGAGATTACACAGAGCTTTAAGTCCATTTTCTCCCAAAAACTTTAGTATTTCAGCACTTACTTCATCGGGGCCAAGTGCTTTTCCATTTTTTGCCGTTTGTGTTGAACGTCTTACCTCACTTTCTGTTATAGATGGACCTGATATAGCAATCGGTGTATAGTGTTCTACTCTCTCATCTTCAAATATTTCAGAAATGTAGTTTTCCCATTCTTTTAACTTTTCATTGATGTCTAATATTCTGTGTCCGTTTCTGTCTTCTAAACTTTGGGATACTTGTTTCCGTTTGTTTCCAGCGACCTCTTTTAATTTGTTGTGCAGATAAAATTATAGTGTTTCTTTTCATGTTGTTCAATTTCATTACATTCTTTACTATGAAATTGTGTTTTAGTGTGTATTATCTTATGCCTGATTATTGCGTGGATCCTCTTGTATTCGTTTTTATCTTTATTTCTGACTTCTCTTCTTTGATCCATAAGTCTCAGGATTTCTTCTGTCATCCACCCTTGTTTTTTTCTTGCTTTTAGCGCACTTAATTTTGTTTCTTTAACAGTCTTTAAGATGTCTTTAATTCTCGTCCAGTTTTCCTCAGTACTTTCCTCTTTGCTTGATGTTAACTTAGTTTTTTGTTCTAATATACTAGTTATTTCTTGTTTTACAGTATCATTTAGCATCGTTTCCCTATCAATAGTAACTGTTTACTTATTCGTCCTTGCAACTCTTTTTAATCTCAGTCATATTTTTCCTACTAAAATATTGTGATCTGTTGGTAGATCTGCGCCTGGATATGATTTTACTGCTAATATTGTATTTCTATATCTCTTATTTATACATTTGAAGTCTATTTGGGTACGAAAAACTGGTTCAGGTGTATATGCTGGTGATTTACAGGTGTAAAGACGACGTTTTGGAAGTTTGAAAATTGTGTTTGTTATTACTAATTGCTTTTCTACGCAAAAAGATGCCAACATATCTCCTCTTTCATTTCGTATTCCCAGACCATATTTCCCTATGATATCTTAATGTTCACCTTCACAAATCTTTGCATTAAAATCTCCCATGATAATATTGAGATCGTGGTTCTTTGTAGGTGCTAATACTTTTTCTAAATCATGATAAAATTTTTCAATTTCTTCTTGTTCATAGTCTTGTGTGGGTGCATATACTTGTAATATGTTCACGTTGATTGTTGTTGATTGTATTTGTATCATCAGTATCCTGTCTGAGAATAGGACGACGTTTTTTACAGCTGCATCTGTTTCCTTCGACACAATTATTGCTACACCATTATTGTGTTTTGAGCTGTCTTCTCCTAAATAGTATACAATGTGATCATCTACAGTTACTTTTTCAGACACCGACCATCTCATTTCACTTATTCCAGGATACTTATATTCAGACGCTTCATTTCTTTAATGGTGTTGTGATTTTTTCCTGGTTCGTACATGCTTCTTACATTCCATGTATCTATTTTTCTTTCTTTAGAAAATGTGTTCATGTTTCTAGCTGACCGGGAGATTCTTAGCACCCCTGCTTCATTTAAGGAGCGCACGTACTTGGGGCCGTTGTATTTATCAGCCATTTCTATGATTGTTTCTTGGGAAAATTAGGCTCTAGGTGGTTTCTCATTGCCTTTCTAGAGTGTATAATGAAAGAAAATATAGTGACCCGTCTGCCCTCGGAAACCTAATGGCCATTCGGGGTCGGAAGAAACAAGAGTTAGCCAAAAGAGGCCGATAGGAAAGATTAAAGACATTTCACTCAAGAAAAGTTGAAAAAGAGTGAAATGTAAAGGCCCTTATGATGCGCCAGGTGCGTTTCATAAGCGTATGAGTATTAATACACTTTGTGTTCCCGCTACAGACTGTATGGCTCGTCCAGCATGCCATAGCATGGAGAGAAGGGCGCATGCCATTTTTTACAATGTAGGCACCACAACTCCACGGTCTGACGTATTGAAACAACAGAGCAGTAGAATGTTATTCAAAAAGGTAGTGTAAAATATATCGCCGCTTATCTGGTCCGCTAGTAATAAATTTACCAACATTTAATTGCAAAGCGGTCTTCTTATATGAAAAATCCTATATTAATATTTTCTAATTAATTAAAATACAATTTACAAATAAAACATTTAAATAAAGTTAATAAAATTAAATTCAACAAACTTCACAAGCCTTTTTATGTGAAATGTGAAACAGAAACAACGAACAAACAACAACGACGGTCGGACTACCACGCGTTGTTGCCAAATTTTTACTTCATGGCTTAGAAGTAAGGGTGGCAGTGGGAGAGGTAATCTTCTAACAAATAACTCAATACAGATTGCCGACTATGCCGATGA